GTGGCGTTGTGAGAGGGGGAGGGGGAGGAGGATGAAGGAGAGGCCGCTGCGGAAAGGGTCTGTGGGTTGTGTTTCCGCAGCACGGCGGTGAAGAACTGGTGCTCCGAGGGGTAGATCCAGTTTCCGGAGCGGTGGGGTCCGGTTTCGCTTTCCGAGTTGGAGGGTGCGGTTGATGCAGGAGAGGAGGGAAAGGCGCGCGGGATGGACGAGATCACTCGTTCGTGGGAGAGGCTGCGTGTTCTCTTGTTCGCTGAAGTGAAGCTTGAGGAGGCTTGCGGTGAGTCCATCGTTTGAGATATTGTGTCAGACGAACATTGGGCGGTAGACAACGGCGTAGATGCTGCGCTTGGGGGTTCTTGGTTTCCATCTCGGCTTGCGGATGACCCCGTTGGCGGCTCCGGACGCTGGGCGGAGGACGCCTGCTGTAGCCATAGTGCACGAGTCTTCGGGTCGACGGGACAGCTTGAGGCAGAGTCTTCTGTGTTTGGCGTTGGCAGTAATGAGGCTTGTGGATGGGAGGAGGGCGTGGGAACAGGTGTAGACGAAGGCTCAGCTGGCGGATCAGCTTTCCACCATCCCATGTTGGGTTGTCGCGAATCTCTTTTTATACCGCCTACCAATCCCAAGCTGCGTCTTTCTCCCCAGCCTGAACCTGCGTACAGCCAGGATAAGGATACTGTAAGGACGCTTGTAGAGTCCGAGGTTGATCCTTTTCTGCCGCTTCTGGCCGCTCTCGGCTGTCAGCCCTGCCAAGTAATTGCCTATCTGGGATATTGGACTCAAATCGTTTTGTTTATGCTTCGTGGATTAGTGAAGCAACCTATGGCTAACCTATGGCTAACCTACGGCTAACATCTCGAGATAGCGAATGTATGGAACAAGGCCCAACAACCACCATGAATGCATAAGACGGCTAAGCGACCATTCCCTCCTGACCTGCTAGTCCTGACCTCCTAGAGCAGCCCGTGTGTTTGCTTCCGCCACAATACTACCCCACCGCTTTGCCAGTTCCAACTCCAATCCGTCAAGCTTGTCTTCCGGTATGGATTTACCTCCAGGGCCCTCCCACGCTCTCACCCTTCGATCGTACGACCAGTTGCGCAAGGCATCACAAGGCGTATCTGCCACTGTCCACCTCGTACTGACGGATGAATGGATGCATTCTTGGGTATTCTCAAGTGGTTGTCCAGGTTTCTGGGAGAAGAACGAGAGAAGCTGTTTCCACCATGGAGGATTCAGCTGACGCTGGGTAAAGCTTCTGGGCTCGCGTATTCTCGGTTTGGTAAGCAGGCGGTAGTACCATAGCATGGAGTCGTGGATTTGTCCGAGACCCCACTCTTTCAATTCAGGCATGGGTGATGAGCCTGTTATTTTCTTGGTTTGGTCTCTAGCGCTGATTTCCATGAGTTTCCAGAACGTGTCATGGTTGAATTGCATCAAGCTCTTTGATTCCAGCTGGGTAATCATCCATGCCAAGCTAAGATTGGCGAGTTCTTGATCTCGATATCCACCACCTCCAACATCACAATGAACTCCTCGAAACCAGCATTGTTTGAGCTCCTTGGGAGAGTTGGTTGGTGCAGCCCAGATGGTAGGAGTGAACGGACCGCGACGCTCGTCAAGTGCCAAAGCCTGAAAGGCGTATTCAATGTTCGACTCGATGTTCGTGTCGACGAAAGCATACATCTTAGAGTCTCTTTGTGGAAGAAACCACACCTGAGGTATGCCAAGTGATCTGACATGCTGTGAGTTTTTGCCATTTCCATGAGATTTCAATCAACGTACCCGACTGTGTCCCAAACACCACAAGCTTTGATGCCAATCGGGGCTTGGTCACTGCGAAGCAGGTCCAGCTCTTTAAGCTTTTGCACGTAAGCATTTTCTTGGCCTGCTACCGTCCTCGGACTTGGTCGCCGATCCTTTGTAGAGCCCCACGGCACATCGGCGAACGGCGTCTTGATCAAACGCCATATGTCGTCGTTCTGATGCTTCCAATCTTGGGATATGGAATAGAAATGTGCCAAACCTGACGCATTCAGTATGCCGATCGTCCTCAGAAGGCTCGAAAGACTCCGAACAGTGAATGCACCTCTGGAAAACCCGAAGAGAAAGATCTCGTCACCATCTTCATAGTTGTTGCAGATAAAAGAATACGCATCTCGAATATTCGAGGTGATGCCTCTTCCCGTAAGTCCTCCGCTCAGCCGCTGCATGAAGGAAGTGCCAACACCTGCCTGATAAAACACCAACTGTGGGACTGGCCGTCCTTGTTCGTCAACACCCTCTTTGCTGATGCATCGACATAACCGTGCAACATTGGATGCTGGCATCAGGTAACGTTCTCTTCGCCAGAACTTCCATATTGGATGAACTCGTTCGGAGTCACTGTCCGCGTCCTGCCATGTACCGTCACAGGCAACGATGATCCTTTTGCGTATCTTGGGTGTTTTGTCCGAGTCTTGAGGGGTTCCCATCGCAGTAGCACCCACACTTAAGTGTGCGACGCCGCCAGTTGTTAGGATACCCTGCAACAAGGGCAAAGAGCGTGATGATCGAGACGACAGCACAGATTTTGTCAGTGCACTTTGGATACTGTTGACATTAGCCAAACCGCGCATAGCCCACCGGGGTCAGCAATAGTAGCACAGTAAGCCGAACCAAAGAGTTGTCCAGCTCAGGTACGACGACTTCAATGTTTATGTAGACGAGGGTAATGAGATTTCGAAGTATGCTATGGAAGACATTATTTGGAGGCCTCAAGGACGCCTGTAGAAAGTCGGAAAATGGGCTACTATCACGAACATCAATGGTCTTCCTATCAACAGCAAGAGAAGGTCAGGCAACGCGGATTGCTTGCGCTGCGGGGTGGCAGCCACAGCTGGCCTTGATCACCTTGTCGGAAAGGACGTTCGAGCTCGTTACAGCAATAGTACGAGTAGTGGCGTTCCACTAGATCAGCTGATGTTCTGGACACGGCGATGGCGTAGCTTATTCCGCTTCTCAGTCAACTGCAAGCAAAGGATAATGGATGCCCGTCTTGCAGCCCTTTTGAACCTTGCTGTATCATTAAGCGTGCTACTTCAAGGCACTCTTGATTTTCGATTAATCACCTTTAGCTTGCAAAGCATCTTGAATTTGGGATCATACATGTGATCCAGAAAGCAACAAACATCGCAGCCTTACCCAGTTGACCAGTTTTGAATAAAGCTGTACTGAGGAAGACCTTCGATTATATCCTCTCTGAATGAACTCCACTGTACTCCATCTTGCTCATAAGCAAGTCTGTAGTGCTGCTGGCCTTTGCATTGGAAGCTGTCCTCAATCGAATGCCACAAATCATTGCTGCCGAGTTCTGGGGCATGTGTGAATCTGGTAGACATGAGATCTAAGTCCAGCCATTAGATTGAATTCCCCTCTTGGCTTTTGGATTATCACACATGTCTGGGGAGCATCGCTATAGTTAACTGTGGGTAGAATGAAACAGCGGCAGGAGGAGCCCGAAACGGCTTCGGCCCGGGCGGCAGGCAATGGAGCGGGGAAGGAAGATCGGTGGATGACCCACCTCTTCCGGCGGCTGTCTTTGCCCAAGACGTGGTGCCCAAGTTAGGGTATAGACGGTACTGAGAGGTGGGAAAGTGGAGGGTAGCAGGAAATAGAGGGTAGTAGAGCGATAGGTAGATTGTAACAGGAAGGGACACAATTGATGATGATGACACAAACAGGACTTTTGAACCACAGCACTTCATAAGCCGGAACAAACTCTGATTGCTCAGACAAAAGCGTCGGAAGTATTTGTGCTGCTGCGTTAGAATTAAATGGAGAGTTTCAACCCTATCTATTTTCGAGACCTAATATATTCAATTTTTACTGAATCTTGTGAGTGGTGAGATTCTCAGTTGTCTCAATAAATCATGGTGGTCATTACTGGGTGTACAGTACTAAAGCAAAAGTTTGGATGCATTGGCACTTTTACACCTAAAATAGCACTTTTCAAGCCCTAATTAATAGACTTCTAGTTAAACAAGTATATCTAATTATTTTTATAGTGATAGAACTTATTAAAATAAGCACTTTTTACGTATAAATATTTTTATTTAGATTTAAATTGACTTAGTAGCTATGTTCTAAAGTGGAACAGAGTCCAAAACCTTAATTTTTTATATGGAGGCCCATACAAAAAATTAAGGTTTTGGACACTGTTCCACTTCAGAACATGACTACTAAGTCAATCCAATTCTGATAAACAAGAGTCTGGTATAGAAAAGATAGATATGATGAATTTCTATCAACATTTCTAAGCGTTACTTTTCAAAGCTCGTGGTTGTAATATAATATCATCTCGAAAAGTGCTATTTTGGGGCGATTTTGGTGGTAAAAGCTGAAATGTATCCAAACTTTTGCCGAGGTACTGTACATGGCACCTGTCACATCAATTTCTTGTCTGCTCGTATTTAGGGTAAAGTTCCATTAGTATGAGCGGTAGAAAAGCTAGTCTGGAGTAGTCTCCAGCGCTAAGTTTAGCGTATTTGCACCACTTTGGGGGCACGACTCCGTAATGGTTTGGAGAGATTGTTGGGGTTCAGCCCTTTCACAATCAGGAAGTGTAACGATTTTCCACTCTGCCACAGCGCCGCTTTCACTAGAGGTGTTGCTAAGCAGCTAGAATGGTACCCAGTGCAGTTGTCTTCAGATTAGTCTCTCTCCTCAATGATCGGATCGGCATGCCCTCCGGAGCACTAATTATCGTTGGTAGTGCAGCACGCTGGCATGAGCCTTGGGAAAATCAAATTGGTACGAGGCGCAGAAGGCAGAACCTCAGTTTAGTAAACAAGTACTTACAGCCCCCAATGTTCTGGTGCAGTGGTGCTCTGCCCAACATGTTAAAGTAAATCTGCGGCTCCCTTCTGATTGGGCAATGAACCGAGCAATTGATGTTACGTTCTGTGTTGCTCCGTTCCTTTTGAGCTCCATTTACTTGACCACTCCTGCCTACTCTTCTCATCGTCTTTGTTTACCCTGATTGTCTCACGGTTTTACGGTTTCTGCCATTACCGCTGTCTCTTATGCTGCAGTCACAATGGGCCTGCCGTACAGCTTATTAGCCAATGTGGATTTTGAATCATGCAAAACAGTGTCGGAGAGGCTGACCTATCAATCCTGCGTGGAGCACTGTGGAAATGGAATCGATATATGGCCTGCTGACCAGATTGCTGAACGATTTACCCTTTGGCTTGTCCCGGCGGTGGTACTAGTTGCTCACTTCCATTACGCATCCATTTCATGGGCGAATACCTTGATCATTGTGTCACATCATTTTTCGAGTCCGATTGACAGCATGCGCAGTATGCTTGCCCGACTCAGCATCCAAAGAAGGTACCTCCATCTTGCGGAGCTAGTGCACCAAGTACATGGAGGCGTGCGCAGCGGATACGAAAGCAACCACGGCTACCTTCACCATTTGAGGACGGCTTCCCGGCACGAGGTTCACGCAGACAGTCAGCATCTCGCAGTCATATGGTGTGCGTATGATGAATTTGGACTGAGGGATGTATCAAAAACACTTGACGATGTTGAAGAGAGCCCCTTAAACTGGCCATGTGATGACGAGGAGTGGCTATATATCAAGGAAGCCGCTTATCAGCTAACGAACAACCGTACGGAATCACAACTGCCAACCTGGATAGCTGTAATTGGTTATCTGGGAGCTATATCTGCTGCTTTTATCCGGACGAAGAGGACGCGACAAAACAATCAAACATCTCATACGATCGCTGTAGTAGCACTGCTATCATACTTCGTCCCACTTGTTCTGGTGAGCAGCACCATCGGCGTATTCCGCTCAGTGCCTGATGCTGTGAATGTCTTGCAACAACTCCATCGGAATATCAGCCGTCACAGAAGAGAAAAAAGCCGCCCCACAAAGCCGGAGCTCTTTCCTCAACTGCAGCTTCCGACTTTCGGGGGAGACAACGCTGCTACATCAGATTATGTTAAGATTCCTAATTCCTCTATGCCAGGACCCGAATCTTGGGACCACGACCTTGAGAGACTTAGAGGATGGCTCAGGATTGCACCTTGGACAGGAATGAACAGTTCATGGCGACCTGGCGCGGCAGTCACCGTCAATAGAGCTCAAAGGAACCACAGACCACGGCAGTTGCTCGCCCCGATCATATTTGTCCTTCTAGGGTCGTACATCCCAGCCGTCGTGCTGTCTTACTTCAGCGGGTCACTTGGATTTGGCTGTCGCTGCATGGCATGGACAATGGTTCTGGGTGTCTGGCTCACAAGCTTCGGCATCGATTATGCAGCAAAGTATCAAATCCGATCTCCCCGGACGCAGTGGATCTGTACGATTTATAAAGACGCGATATGCACATGCTTCCTCATAGGAGCCATCTTGGCCATTCAGGTTGGCATCCTGAACAGCTGCTACTGTCGTGCCAACGTCTTAATGGATCCTGAAAATGCGACGGTCAACCTAGGGGGACTCAAAGATGCCGAGTGGAATTTAAACTGGGTCGTTTGGCCTTCCGTTACCGTCTCTGGTTTCTCTCTCATGATAGTCTTTGGTTACTTGATCCACATCATTGAATTGGTTCAGGGTAGCTGGTGGCGGATCAAGTTCGTCGGCGGCGTCTTGTGTAGAGGTGAGGATGAAAGGTATGAGGACCTGCAAGAGCTCGTCTGGTTGAGCCACAGGCTAGGCACTGCCGGTCTGCAACATCAACTGCTGCGGCACCGCACTTGATCTCGCACGTTAGGAACGGGAAAGTACATCTGCCAGGTAGCCATGAAGTAGGAAGTACAGTTGTCTTCAATCTTCCCCACAAAAGGCTTTGAGCTTTTCGAGTTGCTCATCTGTAAACGCAGATCGCCCGAACCCAGCCGAATAATCAGGTTGTGGACGAGGACCACGTACGGTACTTGCGCTATTCCATCCCTCATTAACGCTTTCAATCAAGTAATCGAGCTGCGTGGCACCATATGTGGTTCCAACAAACATCACTAACTCTTTCGAGCTGAAGGAGCAGGCTCAATATCTCGGTCTGCTCCGTCGCTTGATCAAAGGAGGTATCTGGCACGCAGAATGCGCTTGGTACAGCTTACCTTACAGACTGGTTCATGCTGCGAAAAGTCACGGAGCTTTCAAGCCGGCGTGAATCCATAAATTGGACCGAAGAACTCTACCGCCATCCTCGCCGGCAGGGGCGTCAGCCGGAAGAGCGCTACAACATGGGTCACGATATATACAGCCTTGGGGTCTTATTGGTTGATATCTCCTTAGGAACCGTTCGTGCAATTATCAAGGGCTCCGCCCGTTAGTAAGACATATAAAAGCAGAGCATTAGAGCTCAACTTCATCCGTGCCGACGAGTCGAACATGGTGCCTCTGAGAGCATCATCCGTCATTTCGACCAACATGGCTACCTCTGTCGCGTTCCTTTTGCTCATTTTCAAGGCGAGATGGAAGTCGTCATCGACCAGAAACATTTGCGCAAACAAAAAGAGCTCTTCAAGAAGCCTTTCATAGTGGAGATCATGGGCGCCGGATTCGACAGACCTGCCGACACCGATTATTGGACATGGCGGTTTCCTCGAATGCAAAAGGTCCATGAAGATCGTACTTCAAAAGACGTGGTGAGCTTTGACGAGTTGCAAGAATTAGCCAACCAGTGTCAGCAACTAGCCCCTGAAATGTTGGGGAAGTAAAGAATGTCTGACTCGCAAGACTTCGGACTTCCGATCAGGGGTTGTAACAAGCAGACTGTAGACTCACAAGATCGTCATCCAAACCCTCGTCTTAACTTGCTTACATTTACGAATAATCTCGGCTAAACTCATCCAAGCCCCAAGCTACAGTATATATCGACTCTAACTAGATTCAACGCTTCGTAGCTGTTCTGCCGATGCAAAACATATGGGCAAAAACGTTCAACTGATTAATGTCCACAGGAGGGGCATCCGAACGTATTTCCTCTCACTTTGTTATTCGGTAGTTCTCTACACCTGTACTCCGTAACCATTTACTAATCGCAGGAGCTGCTCCATATCGACCAAGTCTCTTGAGATCATTTGATGCTGGTTGCACACTCTCCTGGCTGGTCTGCTCCTACAATGTAGACCAAGTCCTCATGACATCATCATAGCATCTGCGAAAGGAGCTTGATTGCTGTGACGCTCGGCCAAATGATTGAGCCGCATTGGGAGACGCATTAGCGGACCCTGGTTCGAAAAGCCATGTTTCAACATCCGCCTCGTGGGCCTCGCCATACCGTCTCAAGCCCAAGCCGCTATTATCTTAAAAAATAGACTTTGACCAGGGTAGAGGACTGGGGTTAGGGAAAGCCCACGGAACCTGATGAATCACCGATCACAATGCCAGGTAAGCCTATATTTGGCTTAGAATCTTCATGTCCGCAAACGAAAACAACTACCGAAGTACTGGTAGCAGAAGTCCGAGGCAACAATCCAGGGTCAAACAACAAAAGGCATTATCGCTGGAATAATATACAGACGAGCGTGAGAATATCAGTGACAAGAGATTACCCAGCGACGGATGAGGACTCGAATGCAGAAAGCGATTCCGTAAACGAACAACAGTTGGTAGACAATGGGGACTCTGAAGGCGATGAAGATTCGGACTACGAACCTTCTGCATCGGACAGTGCGGAATTCTCAGAGGAGAAGGATCTGACAGGCGAAGAATTAGCTAGAGGTCAAAAAGAAGTCGCATGGGAAGTCAAAGGACTGATTAGCGCCCAGCACACATTCCTGAACAATGGAGTAGAGCTGACCAGCTCGATAGGGAGTTTGGAGGTGGACAAATATGCTCAGCCGAACAGGGAGAACTCTCAAGAAGTGAAGGAGAATCGTCAGAGGATGACCCAGTAGACATAGAGTCGGCAGAAGATGACTCGGCAGAAGCCGTGTCCGGGGAACGTGAGCAACCGAAAGGAAGAGGAGCGAATCAGCCAATAATAGAAATAGGTTGCACCGCTACAGCAAGGCTTCGGGAGAGAAAGGAGCGATCAGCAAAACGAGACACCAACTCTGTAAAAAGGCCTTCCACTCCTTTGTCTGGACACGCCCTCAACGAAACCAGTATTACGGAATCAACCAGCTGATACTGCGGTACGAGCAGTAAGAGTATTTGCTTTGGAATGGCACCACAGATGGCTTCGCAAGACCATCCCAAAGGACCGTTTCGGGGACTTGATTTGACAGCGGTTGAAAGTACGGACCTCATCCAAGGGGACGAAATCCTGGGGGAGGAATCACGTTTAGATTTTCTGGTTACTACACAACTTAGACATCGTCCTAGCAAGTTCCATCTTCCACTTCAACCTCCCACGATCAAGCCTTCGCTTGTGCTTTCTCTGCACGTTGTGGTAGCACTGACTGTTCTGCAACACCCGTCCGTGCATACACAGAGAGGGAGATTGCCGCAATTAGCACTGTCCATCGTTGAGGGTTATCAATTGCGATAACATCCGCTGTCATGGGTCAAAAAGATTGTCCTTTGGTAGAAGCAACTGGAGGATGCGGAGAACGTTCTACTGTCAGAGAAAAGCTAGTTTACGGTCCTCTGAGGGCCGCGGTCCTTTTGGTCCAACATCTACTTTCCTCTTTGTATTCTTTAGATGGACGAGCAGAAAAGTATGGCTGATGAGAATGCATCAAAATCACTTTGATATGAACTTAAAGTGTGCCGAGCAAGTCAATTGAGGGCAGCATGCATGGGTGGGGTACTCATTGTTCTCCAGGCAAGGGATGTAGGGATGTTAAATACGGAGTAACTGTACATCAGGGTGTAAAAGGGTGCCAAATCAGGGACCCTTTCGACGCTGCTTTTGGCACCCTCTGCACCAACGCTAGACAGGGGACCTGATTTGGGGGTGCCGTTTTTTGCAGAAATCCCCCTCACCCACCCAACTTCATTGTCGCCCTCAATCAGGTTATAACCTAATTTTGTTCTTTAGTATAGCAGAAACGACTCGATGGATCCGAATCCGCATATAAAAAGTTGCTCCCCTCTCCGCAATAACACCATCCCAAAGACCCAGCAATGGCAGTTTCACCCTCCACTTGTGCAAAGCAAAAGACAAAGAGACATTCGCGACCATTCAAAGAGCTGATTAGCAAACTAGGTCAAAGCACTAAACCGACAACACCTAAATATGTGGACAGCACTAAAAAATCGTATAAAAATGCATGAATACGATGGATTTTGTAAGTCTCTTATCCATTTTCTCACTGCTCCTACTATTTTTGTTCTTCAACAGACACTGATCAAGTGTGATTAGGTTCTGTTAGAAAGTCTATGAAGAATCAAGCTACTTTCCTACCCCCGATCCTGTCAAAATATACGAGAATCATTTATCCTACGAAGTCGTTCGGTCATTCTTGGAATGGAGCTGTAAGACCTTAAATATAAAATTGTTGTCCACTCTCTTTACTTTCGCAAAATTTTGGAGGATTACGGTTCGCGTTCATACACATTACCCTGTGGACGAATCTATCAAGATGGACATGAAGAACGTACGGCCCCTATTAGAGATACTCGAAATAGGCGGTCTTGCTAATAGGAGATTCTACCTCATAGTTTATCATAGATCGCTTGATTAATGAGTTTGAGCTCCAGGAAACCGGTCGGTTTAGGGCGGTGATGAATGCGGATGACGTGCTTGACATCCTCCATCACCATTAGGTCCTTAGCGATGAATATTATCCAGAGGAGCGGCAGCGGGTTCAGCACACGGCTTTGAATCTTTTCTGCGTATTGACCACGTCGCGTGCCGGTACCATAGTTGAGTCCACCGGATACCTTGAGCAAAATAAGGCTGTTGAGTATAGAGACATTCAACTTTACGCTCTTCGAGATGAGGGGAACCCGGGTAGTGTGAAACTGGGCATGCTTATCACGTTGCGACTCCTTAAAGGTAGATGAAACCGTGGCAATCCGTCAGTTCTCTCATGGATCAATTCGACATCACCTGCTGACTATGATACTAGATCCTTGATCAAATTTCTAGAGCGACAGGACGTTCTAAGTTTCTGTTTGATCAAAGTCATCTGCGGATTGGCACTCAAGGACAAAGCCTTTACAAGCAAGTAGATCCGCGAGCCTAAGAATATTTATAAAATTAATATTCCTGATCAACTCGCGTCTGTGCCTATCAAGTGGGCTGCAGAGTAATAAAGAGTCCCAGTGCTGCGTCGGTCCGTCTGAGACACGCAGGGGAAGATCTATACTTTACCTCTCCTGGCCGCACAATACACTCAGATGGCGACTTGGAATCGACACCTAGATAAATCTTTTGGTATGAAGGAAAGTTTTGAATTTAAGATGCTTCGTCGTGGTGCGGCGGAGGTACTTCCAGGTAAATCTTGCTCTAATTCTACTCATCCACTTATAGTTCTTCTAACTCGCATAACAGAGGGAGTACGGAATCAGGTCATGAGACATGTTAACGGGTCAATCTATCAACGAAGCTATTAAAACCAGGTCGCTGATGCCGACATTGTATCTGCCTTCATTAGGACGCCTTCCGATGCGGCGATCATGAAATTAATAGGTCACGTGTCCCTTACTACAGATCCTGTTGCTCCTACCAGACCTACATTTACGCAGCGTCTCCAGGCACAAGATGACGTCGAGGTTGTCAAAGCAAAACAGCTCCTTGACAATAGCACGAAGACGATCCAAGATTGTTATAGCTCAGTCGCAGCTGCGAAAAAAATGGCCAAGCAAGATTCGACGGTAAAAACAGAGCTTGAGGACTGTACTCGGCTAGAAAAAGGCTTTAGGAGTCTCCTAAAGCGGAAGGTAGATGAGCTATTTAAGCTTTCACGTCAGCAATATTTTGAAACCCTTAGAGCACAGTGCCTCCAGAACCAATATACTGGCCAAGAGGAGCCTACCGGCCCTTCCATATCAGAATTCCGCTTCAGGGAACGCGAAGGACTGGCAAGATTACTGTTTCCTTCAGCTACATCGATGCCTAAATCTCGTCAACAACAAAACGATGATAGCTGCGAGATCATCCGACTCTATGCATCTCTATGCAGCCGCCGTGAGTATCCACGGCCACGGCGTCAACCGGAACACGCTGATCGAGATGCACATAATACGGTTGGCTTAGACGATGCCGCTGAAAGCACACCCTGCCTCCTAGACACTGATCCTGATGTCTATCCCATCCGTTGTCCCGGAACCCAGTGTCTATTCTGTTTAGGAGATGCCAGTCTGACAACGGGGATCAGAGCCCGGTGCTTCGCTAGTCCCTGGTCGCTGGCTCGGCATGTGCAGCTGCAGCATCTTCAGTACCTTCCTCAAGGAGAGCCGTTCACCTGTCCCCATCCTTCTTGCTCTTTGGACGGGATTTGGCTTGAACATCATGACCATTATAAAAGCCATGCTCTGCGGGTACACGGTATCATGTACTCTTCATGACCTCATGAATTGCTAGGCGTGAGTGCTTATCCTACTGGTTCCTACTGAATAGGTATTGAGAGGGGAAAGGAGAGGGGGAGGGGGAGGGGGAAGAAACAGGGTAGGTTAAAGTGGCGCTTAAAGGAGGATTATATTTTAAGACTGATTTAGTTTATACAAAAAGCTAGATCCCATTTCTAGCAATTTAGAATTCTTAAGTACTATAGCAATAAATTTTCTGTGTCTTTATACAAGGTCTGATCGAGATCCATGCTAAACATCGATAGTTTCTTCTTACTTGTGAAGCGCAGGGAAGAAGAAACGGAGCAAAGCAAAGTGCCCTAATCTCTGGAAGGGATACTGGCGCCACAGATGTATGAGAAGACATCCATGGATTTAATAACAGTGATGCTGGCAGTTTGCAGATAGACACTCAGCAAGAGAAGCTTGCTCGGCTTCAAGCTGTCAGCGCTCGCGCTCTCCAACACCTCGTTATAAACCTCAAAAGATCGACAAATCTTTTGCAAACAATGACCAGAAAAGGCACCGGCACATGCGGCATGATGAAACCTCAAGATGGATTCATAGATGTCGACCTCGATGACAGTTCTACTTGTCTCTACTCTATAGCTATTGTCGCATACCTTGTCGGAGAAAGTGGGAAGGACGTTGTCTTTGAATCTTATTATCGGAATGCCTTCGGAACGGTGCATTCGCAGCGGTGCATTCGGCAACGGTGCATTCGGCGTTTGGGTCTTGGCGGGTATTGCGTCATACAAATTGCTAGTAAATCTACCCATCTTGACCATTTGAATAATATCAAGATTTGACACGGAAATTTACACTATTTACTGATGTTGATGTGACTTCCCTATTAGGAAATGGATATAGAAACCATGGTGTTCCAGAAATAGCTTTATCCCCTTGCCCCTCTGCCTGCTCTGCCCCTACCCCTGCTCTTGCCCTGCCCTGTACCCCGTTTTGGCGCCTTTTCGGCCTCTAACGCCTTCATTGTAGGGGCTCTCTTACGGCCAGCTCTTGATTGCGTCATCGCTGCTGGCGCCGTTGAAGGAGGTAGTATAAAATCCTCATCTATAGCTTCTTCTTCCTCCTCTTTTTCGTCTTCTTCTTCATCTCCAGGAGTTGGGGAGGACTGACGAATTGTGGTGGTGGTGGTGGTGATAGGGATAGCGAGGAAACTGCCTATTCCATCCTGGCCTCTTAATAGTATCGGGCATTCGAGTATTAAGATCATCCTCCTGAAGCTCCTTAGCAAACTGAACAAGACCCTGTTGTGCGTTTGTAGCTGCTCGATCGTAACGCGCACGAGCATAGCCAGTAAGAGTCTCTCTAGCCTCAAGAACTTGCAGACTAAGCCCTGTAATCTGATTCCTATTAGGAGAGATGTAAGAGTGGTATGAGTAAGAGGCAGAATTTCGTGGGGGGGATATCGGTAGGGCGAAAGAACGGTATGTTGGTACCCAATTGGTGATACGAATAGGCTCACCATTAATCCACCAACGAGGGTGTATTAAGGATCGAGGGATAGGGGCGCCATCTTCAAACGGCTGTGCAAGATAATGCTTGCAAGGTATGAGTAAGAAGCAAAATTTCGTGAGGGGGATATCGGTAGGGCGAAAGTACGATATTTTGGTACCCAGTTGGCGATATGAATAGGCTCTACACCAAGACCCAAACGCCGAATGCACCGTTGCCGAATGCACCGCTGCGAATGCACCGTTCCGAAGGCATTCCGGAACTTGCCCATCAGAACTACATGAATGAAGTGAAGTTCCTATATGATGTCCTGCATGATATTGATGTTGCTGTTACTTCCTAATTAGGAACTTGATATAGAGAACGTGGTGTTACAAAGATAGCTCTCTCTGAGCCTCTCTGACTTCTCTACCCTTGCCCTTGTTCTTGCCCTTGCCACTGCCTCTACCACTGCCTCTGCCCCTGCCTCGTTTTGGCGCCTTTTCAGTCTCTAATGCCTTCATAGTAGGGGCTCTCTTGCGGCCAGCCCTTGATACTTGTATCATCGCTGGCGCCGTCGACGGCGGGAGTATAAAAGGGTCCTCCTCCTCCTCCTCCTCCTCTTCCTCAAGGGTATCCCTGGGGGCTATCTCAGGCGCAGAAGGAGGAGATAGGGCCAGCGGAATAGGCTCTCGGCCAAAAGTGAGCGCATAGGCCTCTCTTTCGCGCTGACGCGCCTCTCGTGCAGCTATCTGCTCTCTATCATTGGCGTCACGTTCTGCTGCCTCAGTTCCCGTTATAAGTCGCTTATAAGCCCTATCATGACTCTTCTTCTGCCTATTCCATCCTGCTTTCTTGACGATATCTGGCATTCGAACGTGGAGATCATCAGCGTCAAGTTCTTGAGCGAATTCAATAAGTTCTAGTTGCGCTCGAGTAGCTGCATTTTCGTATCGTTGACGAGCGTACCCTGTGAGATTATCTCGCGTCTTTATGACTTGTAGGCCAAGTCCTGTCATCTCATTTCTCTTAAGAGAGGTATAAGAGTTCTGAGAGATCGAATTTCGAGAAGGGGACAAAGGTAGGCTAGTAACTTGGTAGATTGACGTCCAATTAGTGATTTTGATTGACTCATCTTGTAACCACCAACGCGAATGAAGTAGAGAACGTGGTATAGATGAGCCATTAAGACAGACTTGACGAAGATAGTACTTACAAGGAAGGCCGAATCGAAGTAATAGCTCATAGCTATTACAAGGGGTTAATTCAGTCTCTAATGAGCCATCTTGACATCCTAACTTTATTGCTTGCCACTCAAAAGACAGTCGTTTAATAGCTTGAAATGTAACTATATCTACAAGCCATTGAAATGCTTGTAAATCAAGCGTCCGAGGTAACCTGCTCTCTATAAAAGTCTCTATCTCATTCAACTCTCGAAATTTCGTCTTGATAGTCTCTTCTAACCGACGTGTAGTCTCCTCCGTGCTCAGATTCTTATTGAGAATTCTTGTAGTAACAGGATGAATACTCTCGGAGCGTTGATTTGAGTGGCTGCCCAAGTTCGGATACGTACGAGTATAGATACGTAGAAAGGAGGTTTCTCGAGGGCCCCAATACTCATTAAGATAGTTGATTTCGTCCGATTTCAGCTTGGAATGTAGCTCTTGCCGGTGCTCTGCAAGCTCTTCCTGCGTACGACTCTTGATGAAACGCCATAGGGCATCTCTCAGCTTCTCTCGAGCCTCTTTCTTGTATTCATGATCTGCAAGACGCTTTATAACGTTCTCTACAGCGTGTCAATCACAGTACTGCAGAATTGCGTTCGGAAGGGCTGTAGGAAGTGATGCTGTCATACCAGCTGCTTAGTCGCTAAGTATCAAACGAGATAGAGGGATCGGATGATAGAAAAAGTGTTGTTTGAGGCTTGAGAAGATGAAATCGAATGACATCTTTGATTCTAAACGAGCGAACGATAAAGCAGCAACAAAGATCTTATTACAATTGATTATACTAGCCATAACAAGAAGAACTAGATTTCGAGCATTTGTATTAAATGTATCATCAATAAAGAGAGTCCAATCTGCTATAAAGCGTTGAGTATATCGAATTTGATCAGGATGAGCGAATCATATTTACTGTAACTGAGTATTAATAACCTTGTCATTTTTAATTTCCTCCTCTATACGATAATCAAAAACGAAACCAGCATCCTTAAAAGCAACAACAAGGCCAGCAAACTCATCTTTCTCAGCAGAAAGCGTTCGATGACGAAGATTATAGTAACTCTTTCGATCAAGCGGAAATCCAGTTTGTTTAAGTACTCTCCGAGCTATAAAATATGAGATATAAGCTGACCGCAGAGACCTACCTAACTCTAGAACAGTCTAATACTCTAGAAGCGTCTTTTTGTGCTCTGAATATATCAACGGATTCACCGTTATAGCATGGCTATGAGTGTTGTTTTTGACACCTAGTACAAGGCCGAATTCGCCAGATCCACGCTTATCTATCTGCTTAAAAGCAAGATAGATATGATAAGGACAGTTCCTTGCATTGATAGTTGTTCCATCTCGCTTACGTTGACTAGTTATCTCGTTCTCCTTATTCCTCTCAACATGCTCCTCCAGATGTCTCCAATTATCTGCCGAAACTCCGTGGTGAATACAATAGAAATAGAAGCGTGGACGAGCCTGCTTCATACTACCACTCTTGCGTACGATCGCAAAGCCCTGAGCAAAAGCATACGCCTGCAGACGCTCCTGACAGAGGTCTACATTGTCAACGACCTCACCATTGGTAGGCTCAACTAGATATGACGGGGGAAAGGCTCTAACGCGAGATTCAACCTCGCCACGAAGATGAGCAGGGCAGTGAGGATGAGCAGTCCAGACAGTGGTGGTGGCTATGACGATAATTCACAACACCAAGGATATCTATCTCAATATCTACTTGGGAAGCAAGAGCAAGCTCAAATAAACAGTATCAGAGGAATGGCAGTATGTGGGATTAGGGCAGGAATGCTGCATACAAATTACTACTGTGGAGTCACGCCAAGAGCCCAAGGAATTCCAAACGCCGAATGTAGAATACCGCTCGCCGAATGTACCGCTCTGAATGTACCGCCACCGAGACATTCCGCTCAGACATCCTGGGAGTTTGTACTTCCTGAGAGATTTTCTCCTGAGACTTTAAATTTTCCAGGACCTCAGATCTCCCGGGAGAAGGTTAAAGAGTCTTTTTTTTGGGTGATTCATAGGCTGTCCCAGCAGTAGGCTCTAGCTTCTCTTCTCGGCATGAGAAATACACCTCGACAAAGCACAGCTCGCTTCCAGAGCATAAGCGGCTCGGCCAAGCTCTCAGTATGGTCTCGCCGACCACGGAATAGATAGGCTCCTATGAAAGGTCTCCTCTGCTTTGAGAAAAGAGACGTAAAGTGCATCCCCGCACGCCGAAATGTACCCCTGAGCGAAAAAGAGTCGAGGTACCTCGAGAGCCAACAGACCACACTCGACGCTGGCCACGTTCTCCGACATGAAAAGCCTTGCTAGATATTTCTTCATCAATTCTCTCGCCTCTAAGCCTCCTCCGGCCAAAAATTACTCTGTTGTGGGAAGGGGTTGCATCTTTATCTGTCCTAATAAGGGCTCTATCACCTTGGTAGTATGGCGCTTTAAATGTCCGATCATCTCTGGTCGGGCTAGGATAAACTTGATAGAGGCTCATGAAGGCCTTATTAATGCTCTCCAGCCAGCAATTGAGGCAGTCTCTAGTCGGCTGTAATATTACTGTCGGGATTATCTAAACTTAGATATTTGCCCAAATTTGCCAAACTGCGCTTTAATGTGTACCTAATAACCTGACACTTTTCCACTTAGCTAAGGTTAAAGCAGAAGAAAGAGCGTCAGGATGCTCAGTAGGTAGGACCCGTTTTTGTAGTTGGACACACTCCGCCATGAGTTTAATGGCCTCCCCTTTTCTGCCTTGCTCCTTCATGGTAATTGCAAGATTGTTCATAATGTTTAGCGTGTCTGGATGCTCCTGCCCCAGCACCCTGTTTCTCGTCTCCATCACTTCCACCACTAGCTCTTCGGCCTCCTTCCATCGCCCTTGATTCTTGTATGTCAACGCCAGACTATTCATGCCGGTCAGCGTGTCTGGATGCTCCTGTCCCAACACCCTCTTACTCGTCTCTATCACTTGCACCTCTAGCTCTTCGGCCTCCTTCCATCGCCCTTGATTACTGTATGTCGACGCCAGGTTGCCCATGCTGGCCAGCGTATCTGGATGCTCCTGCCCCAGCACCCTCAAACTCGTCTCCATCACTTGCACAAACAGTTCTTCAGCCTCCTTCCATTGCCCTTGATTGTTGTATGTCAAGGCCAGGTTGCCTATACTGATCAGCGTAGAAGGATGCTCCTGCCCCAACACTCTCTTTCTCGTCTCCATCACTTGCACGTCTAGCTCTTCGGCCTCCTTCCATCGCCCTTGATTCCAAAATGTCGACGCCAGGTTGCCCATGCTGATCAGCGTAGAAGGATGCTCCTGCCCCAACACTCTCTTTCTCGTCTCCATCACTTGCACGTCTAGCTCTTCGGCCTCCTTCCATCGCCCTTGATTCCAAAATGTCGACGCCAGCATCCCTAAGCTATATGACGTCTCTACATCCTCTCTACCAAGTAATTTTCCTAACGCTCTAATCGACTTCTCACATATTCTCTCGGCTTCATGGTAATCTCCCCTGGCCCAAGCATACGATCCCGCCTTCCGTAATATCTGGGCCCATTCTCGTACCGACCTGTCATCCATTAGTTGCTGCCTCTCGGCTGACTTTGCGTGTGGGAAAAGCATCTCGCATCTGGCCCAGTTCTCGTGATTGCCGTTTGGAAGCACCGCGTTCAGCTTCCTAATAAACTGTGCCTTCCATTTCTCATCCTCTCTGTGCATTACGAGCCACTTTCGCATCACTAGCTGTACCAGTCCATGCATTTCGAATGTCTCATCCTTTCTAAGAGATACGAAAGAGTAGCTTTGTAGTCGGTCCACAGCCTCTTTAAACATGTTATTACTCGCCTCAGATGTACTACTAGCTTTAATGTCCTTATTCTTGTTCTTCTTGTCGTCTTTAACATTGTCTTCTTTCTGCTTTATCGAATCCCGGATCACTTCTTCTTGTGATAGGACTCTTAATACTTCCTTAGGGATTCCTTGCTGGTCGAAATAGCTTATTAATAAGAGTAGGTTGGCTAACAATAGCCACTTCTCCCGGATATCATCAAACGATATCTGCTATATAATGATAATAGAGTTCTTTGCTTTCACGTCTCGCTGAAGATAGCCCGCCTCATAGTTTAGAAGACTTGTCTTCTGTTTCTCGTTCCGTTAAAATGTTTTAATATATTGCTGTACGCTATAACTCGCTCCTTTTTGCTAGATGTACGTAGTTGCCTGCACGACCGCTAGCGATATATATTCTAGTGTGTACATTAGCTCTTGTAGATCTTTATCATTAGCGAGCACGTCTAACTTCTTCTTTAGGAGCGTTATCGCGTCCATGTCAGTCATTAAATCAACCACAATCACGTCCCGTGATTCGATATGCTTTGTTGCCACGCTTCTCGTCCGTGTCGTGATCAGAATTGCCTTGTTCTAGCTTTGTAGAAGATATGCGAACAATGGTCGCCTGAGCTGATCCTCTCTGTCACCGACCTGTGCCTTTGATGCGGCCGCTTGAGGAATTAAAATGACAGCGTCATCATCTAAGTTGTCTAGTACTAGCATCCACGTTCTATTTGACTCGTCCTGGAGTCATCTTGCCACTAACTCAAATATATTCTCTTTCGGATCTTTGTGACTGGGAATCTTTACCAGCTCTGCTATCTCACGGTATCCCTACTTGATTCGATCCGCATTACTTATATAGATCCAGAATACCTACGTCTTAGGAGACCGTTTACAGAGGCGATGGCAGTATTTGATACTAAGCTGGGACTTACTACAGGCTTATTAGTAGATAATATCTGACGGAGAGGGATCAGCTTACCCCGCCCTACTAATCCCTACGAGTGCGACTCTTGACGCTGCGGCTCTACACCGTTGCTTAATATGTTCTAGCAGAGTCCTAGAATCATGTAACATCCTACAGTCGACAAAATTGACGTCGCGACAGAAAGGCACTGTTGACAATGGCGAAGCTGGAGTCTTGAGTTGTTCAAGAGGAGCTGGACGGAGCGGCGTTAGCATTATTAGTAAGAACGTGAAACGTCACTTGCAATTCAAAGATTTGTTAATCTTCCTTTGTAACCGCTTAATTGCCTTTGCTCTTCCTTCTCTGTAGCAAAGCGACATATCAATATTAAAGATGCCTAAGAGAGAATATGCTTTATCTTCTTAACGCTTCGTTTCGCGATGCTTCGCTTAAGAAAATCGCTCCTCAACCTCAAACCTTGTCAGAGGCCCTTCACACAAAGCCTTAATAGCGATCCCTGTTATTTTATAGATGCGCTGTTCTAATAATCTCTTACTGTCTAGCCAGTCGCCCTCTGATAAAAAAAATTCGACTGATGCTAGAGTAATTAGCTCTTGCAATATTCAGCCTCGGCTAAACCATCTGCTTTTCTGAAAAGCCGCTTCCTATGTAGTCAGTGATGACGGTATATTAGTAACATGCCCAGATGTTGAGACGTTAGATAGATACACGTAGCATTTGTCCGCATTTTTATACTAGCGAAACATCGAGTTGATGGCCTTACTAAGTTCAGCGCTGCTTGATTTATCAATGTAGCAGGTGTCAACCCAGAAGAACTGTAGACTGTCGCGGGCAGCTTGATCTCTGCAAAATTCTATCTTCTTGTAGCCAGCCTTGTTCTTGCCAGTACCTTCTATTAAGTCCTTAAAAGTGACCTCCTTACCATCCGCTCCCTAAGTGTGCGAAAGTATAGCATAGTAAGGGATGTTTTCATTATGCTGCTCTACCAGACTCAAAGTTCTATGCCCTTTATCTTTTATGAGACGTATTACTATGCGTATTTGCTGTAAGACTTAAATAAGCGCAGTTATAAGTAGGTAGGAATAAATGGCTCGTCTCTTTATAGCAATTTATATTACAGGCGGCAGTAATTAAGGAAGACTGTTACAGATAACGAGTCAGATATTAGGATGCCTCTAGGGACAAATTTTAGCCTTTTAACCTAGAGGATCGCAGAGGCGTATATATAGGAACATGACACAGCCTATTTAAGAGACACTCGAAGAACTATAGTCTACTATGGCCTATAGAACGCTGCTAAAGCCACGCTGACAACTAGTGACTATGTAAACTACACAGTCTTGGCATAAGACAATTAGGTTTATAATCCTCTGGTCAGAAGATAAACGCTAAGCCCACATATTTTAGAGGTCACACGTTATATAAGCTCCATATTACAGGACCGCAACCTAAAGTTGAGGTAAAGCTAGTTATACAAGCCACTTTTAATTACCGTAATGCCTTAATCAATAGGGATCAGAAATACCAGGTTTGCGCCATAAAATGTGAAACCCAGCCACAACAAACAGCCCCTCTAACAACTATTCACACTGAAAAGATAGAGCAGTATCTCCCTATTCCTAATGCCTTAATTTCACAACTTGCTTCTTTAGCTTCTTTTACTCACGATTTTTGGATCTAACAATATGCAGGTGTAAACGTAAAATTCTTACGTTTGTGTCCTTATTATCTTATGTCCCAGAATCTAGAGTTGTAAGGTAGAGTATTTTCTCGTCTTACGAATAAAATGCTTTATTATAAACGACAGCTCTAGAGAACATCTTCGCATAGGGGTTCATCAAGACTAAATCCCTAATATTCTGCCTTTGTCTTGTCTGATTTCTCCATCTTATTACACAGGTCATGTAAGGCTCTGCACAGGATATCGAATGCCTCCACAGTCTTTGCTTGAAATCCACCGAAGGCAATAGCTATTTCTTCCCGCTGCGCTACCTCTGCCCTGAGATAGGAATTCTCCCACGTGAGTTCGTTGATCCGAGCCTGGTCGGTAGTCTGTCTTATTTTTCCTTGACAAACACGACTCGGAAGCCTCTTGATAGTTGAAGTCGTGCCTCCTTTCTGTAAGATCCAGTTGTCTAGAGGTGTGATCTCCTAAGGGTGCGTTTAAAGTTTTGTATTAGTTGAAAAATAAACTTAACGTTCTATAATAATTGACTTTTGAATAGGCTAAAATTAGAAGTAATAATACTAAAGTAGATTAAAGCATACAATACAGCTTATTAAAGTACTATAAGTAGTGGATTTATATTGTAATAAATACAAAAATAATTTCCGTCCCTCTTATACTTATGCTAATTTTAAATTTAATAATCTATAACTATTTTTACACCTCACTCATTATTTTTTACCCTCTCTCTTCTTCAAACCTAATCACTTCTTTTTAGCATTTTCTTATCCTAACCCTCCTACTTTATTTGCCCCTAATTAATAATTACTAACATCTATATTTAAAATATCTTAGCTTTTACTTAACCTTCTTTTAGATTTATTATTACTTCTTACATTGTATTAGAGGACCATAAGTATAAAAAATCAAACAACCTTATTTCTAGGACTAGAATATATAGCTACGCCTTCAGAAAGAACCTCTAAAGCTCTTGATTAACAGTCTATCCCGTTCAGCTCTGATAGCTAATATCCGACTCAAATTAGCTCTTTATCACAAACAAGGTCCAAACCCCCTATGCGTCTAAATGTCTTTGACAAGAATCCATAGACAAAATACAAGAAGTTCATGAAAGTTAATCAAGCAGGTCCAGCTACTCTTGCGTATAACAGAGATTACCCCAAGAAGATTTTCGCCGTAAAGGAAGTCAAAGGATTTGGCAAAGACTCGCTTAGTCGTCTCCGTCCAACCATTCATGCGAACATCATCCGATTTGTTGCGGCGTACTATCATAAAGGGTCTTACTTCTTTTTTTATGATGACATAACTATTCATCTGATCGATCTCTTGTCATCGCCTAAAGACAACCTAGAAATCAATGACATTGCGACTATTTGTCTCAGGATAACAGAAGCACTAGCATATCTACATAATGACCTCAGAATCTGTTATGGCACTATAACAACACGGGATGTCCTCTTGTCAAAAGTTGGAGAAGTCAAGCTTGGTAGTATCTTCTAAGAACCTAATCCAAGTCATGAAGATCAGCTAACAGAAAGTCAGCCAACGTAGGGTATTCTATGCTGACCAGTTACGGTCAGCGCCCTCATGAACAGGACGTGCAACGAGATATACAGTCTCTAGGGCAACTGCTTACCACCATGCTGCGCTTAAGTCCGCAACCATCATCTGTAATAGATTTCATTAAACGGACACGAACAGACGCTTCTACAGACCTTCTTCAGGTATGTGATACCAACCTTGCTTAGTGGGTGTATTAAGACTCGCAGTATGATTTTTTGAATCTTTCCCCGCGGCGTTCTGAACTCCTTTATAAGATATGCATTGCTGCAAGCACTATAAGCAACTCTGTAGAGATTATTGCTGAATAAGGATACTATGAAAGTGGCTATCTTTGTTGGCCCTTATGATCTTTACATAGCTTACTGCGACTGTTTCATTCCTATGTATAGCGTTCTGTTGAGGAAACCTGTAGCAATATTATTTTATAATCTCTGTCTTTTATATAAAGCACTTTATACCTTAAAATTTTTAACGTACCTCTTCAACACTTATTCTAGATGGCCTGATATTGCCTCCGACTACTATTCAACTTTCTAAATGACTTCCGCTTATAAATAGCGAGAAGAGAAATTAAAGTTTACTATTTTTTTGATATCCTGATTTTCTATAATTACGTGAAGTTAAGACTTAGAAACAACTTTGATTCTTCTGGCTCTGTAGATAACACAAGTACAGCGACTAACTCTGATCAAAAAATACAAATCGCAAATCGTTCTTGCACCGTCTGCTAAGAGAATAGATAGACCTTTTCTTACTCTTAATCAAGCTCAGCCTAGGCCATATTCTTTAGAAATTCTCCCTGTGTCTGCATTTAGAGCCCTT